GAGCTTTCATTTTTTAATTCGTGTGCAACAGGTTTCTTGTTTTGTTTTATGTGACTGTACACTTTACCTATTACAGGGTCTTTTTGCTGCGCCACACAGATCTCCTCTCTAGGTAATGGCTGAATAGTGTCCAAAAGTCTCTCGGCTTCAGACTGCTGCTGGAGAGCCTCAAAAGAAACAGCACTGAATATGAGAGCCTGCTCTGCTTGTTGTACTAGGACGCTCTGCTGTGTGGCTGTTACAACATCTTTACTGACTGTCTGTGTACAGTGACTCATATAGTCCTGAAAGTCTAAAGGCATTCGGGATAACCCATCTGCGTCTGCATTTGTTTTGCCTGGTCTGTATTTTATGGTAAAATTGAAATCTGCTAATTCAGCTACCCAACGCTGACCAGACGCATTCAGTTTTGCTGTAGTCAACACATAAGTTAGCGGGTTATTGTCTGTATAAACCACAAAAGATGGCGCATGAAACAAATAATCTCTGAAGCGCTCACAAATAGCCCACTTAAGTGCTAAAAAACTCTAATTTGCCTGCATGCATGTGGTAGTTTTTCTCTGGTGGTGTCAAAGTTCTGGAGCCATAGGCTATTACTCTTAGTTTACCATTGCTACGCTGGTAGAGCACAGCACCTAACCCTGCCTGAGAAGCGTCGGTATGCAACACAAAGGGTTGATTCAGATCTGGGTACCCTAGGATAGGAGGATTAGACAGTTTATCAACTAGGTAACATAAAACTTGATGATGAGTGTCAGTCCATTTAACTGGGGCAGAAGAGGGCAACTGTCCTCGAGTCAGTTTGTTTTCCCCTTTTTAGTCTTTACATTATGTTGGTTTTGGGCAGGCTGGGCTGCTAGCAGTTCATACAAAGGCTTGGCAAAACGAGAAAAGTCTTGTATATAGGGTCTATAATAAGACAAGAACCCAGTATTTGTCTCAACTCACCCACTGTGCTAGGCTGTTTTTCTTTCAATGACAGCACAGGGGCGACCTCTGCTGGGTCCATGCTGTGGCCCTCTTTTGACACAATCCTGCCTAAAAACCTGACCCTAGGTTTGAACAGTTCACACTTTTTGGCTGTAAGTTTTACCCCATGTTTTTGATATCTCTGTAATACTGCTCTTACATGTTCAATGTGGTCCTGAAATGACTTGCTATGGACCAAGTTGTCATCAAGATAAGGTAAACAAATATCATCACGTAGGCCCCACAGACACTCTTCCATGCTCCTCTGAAATTCTGCCGGGGCAGAGCTAAGACCAAAAGGGATCCTAACCCACTGGTATAAACCCCAGGGGGTAATGAACGCAGTGAGTGGCTGGCTCTCCTCATCTAAAAACCCCTGATGATAAGCCTTCCCCTGATCTAATACGGTAAACCAAGAGCTACCCGTAAGGCTGTCAAGCATATCCTGTATCCTAGGAATAGGATGTCTGTCAGGCACTGACTTACGATTTAGTTCACGATAGTCCACGCAGAGTCTTAACTCGCCTGACTTTTTCCTTACACACACTATGGGGGACGAATAAGGTGATTTTGACTTTGTGACCCACCCTCTATTTATTAAATCCTGCAGGTATGCTTTGACCTCTTGGTGCAATGGCTTTGGCACACTAATGTAAGTCTTTTGAACTGGTGTTTGGTCTTTAAGGGTAATGTGCATGCGGAGGGTAGGAATGCAACCTACATCATTTTCATCTTTAGCAAAAAGCTTTGCATTCCTCCCTGAGCATCTCTCTTACTGCAACCTGTTGTTCATTCGTTAGATGGTCTAAAGCTACAGGAGGGTCCCAAGCCTCACTTATGTCACTTTTGGGAGATGAGAGTTTAACCTCTGCATCAGTTGTCACTTCAGCATTTTTTTGTATTTCCCCAGGTTGTAAGGCTGCTGGGTATATTGTTTTTACCCTTCAGTGTGACCCAAAATAAGCCGTGGACCTACAGTGATACAATGGCCTGTTGTATTTGTGACAGACACCGGGACAGTGGCAGAGTTACCCCTTTTCACCTTAAATAATACCTCTTGAATATGCAGTCCTTCAGGTAAAGCTGAGTTCACACCAGGACAAAACAGCATAGCAGTGTCCTCCTCCGCCTGTATACGTGTGCGGCAGCGAAGGGTGACCACTTCACCTGGGCCCAGCTCCACTTTACTCCGGCCATTCTTAACTGGAGTCTCTACTTCAGCTGCTTGGTGGGTTTGCATCAGCTGGATAAAAGTTTTGGCAGAGACAGTGTCAATGTCAAATGCATTACTCACAATGCTAGCAGCATAGTCATTGTTTATGGTACCCTGTTGTTTTATGTGCTCATTAATAACTTCCTCTATCACATTAAAACCTATAATAGGATCTTGAGCAACATTAGGGTCACTGGAAACTAAGACAGGCACTAGAAGGCTGGAGCTGGAGGCACTTGCACCTAGAAGTTTAAATTCTACCGGGACCCAACCAATAAACGGTATTGTTGTTTGGTTGGCAGCAAGCCCATTTAATGGCTCTGGTCCTAAAAGTTCATCTATCCCCCTAATGGTTGTATGAGGTAAGTGCTCAGACCTCCATTTATCACTGATTACAGTTGCCTGGGCCCCAGTATCCCACAGTGCTGTAACTACTATGTCATCAAAAGTGCACTTAACCATTTTACGTCGACCAATCAGTTTGATAATTTTTTTCCCTTGTTTGTTTGCCAGGTTATCAACACTCCCTATCTGTGAGGACCACCTTGTTTCTTCCTTGTTACCCAAATATTGTTCAACTAATCTCACTGTTTTACACATGTGTTTGTGTTCTTGCCAGTGGTTTTCCTGACATGTTGTAGGGCAATAACAGGCAGATGAACAGCTTGTGCAGGTCTGAAGAGGTGAGTCGCCTTTCTCCTCCAGATGACAGTAGCAGCAGTGGCGGGACTCCTGATGAGACGGCCGGGTCACTGCTGGTCCCGTGGCAGTGGCCCTCCGTCGTTTCCCTGCAGCGGACGCGAAGCTCTGCAACCTCTGGAGATGTGACCCGACTGGCCACATTTGAAACAGTGGGTGCAGTTGTCTCCCTCTCCGTTATCCTGGCAGGTCTTGCAGCCTCTCCTCCGACGGGGTCCTGCGTTGTCTACTGGCCTCCTGGTATGCTGAAGCTTGTTGTTATTAAGAGAAGCTAGCACCATCTGTTTCACCTCTGCAACCTCAGCCTTAAGTTCTGTCACTAAGGCTTGTACCTCCGGTGGAGCTCGGGTTGGTTTGGTGTTCTCCTTGGCTGGAACTGAGGTAGTCAGTGGGCTGCTGTGTGGTCCCTCTGCCGTCAGCAGTTCGTTAATCTTTGGCACTTTGGCATTGTTTCTCTTTAGCTTGTTCAGCCTCTCCATTTCAAGATTGGCTGCCTCATTCAGTTTCTCAATCAAGATTTCATCAGTCACATCCGGGTTGTCGAGAAGCGACTTTATCTGAAACTTAATGTTGTCATTCAGTAGACCTGTACCCACTGACCTCAGAAACTTCCTCTTGACCAAATCTGCTCCATAGTGCTCCTCCTCTTTTCCTCTGGATATATACAGCAGCCTGTCTTTCAGCTCAATGGCTCTGAAGAGGAACTCTTGAGGAGACTCTTTTGGGTCCTGGGAAATGTTGATCAGTTTTTGATACAAGTCTGATGTATCATCTTCTCTGTAATGTCCTTTCAGTATTGTTTTTAACTGAGTGAGTGTCAAATCAGTCTTTATTTCCAACATGTCACGAAGTTTGAGCCCAGGGCTGATGGCTCTTATCACTGCTTCAATCACCTCTGGCTCACTGTGGCCTTTGCGGAGCCCATTGTCTATTTGATGGAGCAGGTTGGTATAGGACAGCCTGTCACGTTGTCCACCCTCCCCTATCTGGCCACTGATCCGAAACTCTCTACGGATGGTTACTTCAGGGATCTTTCCTGGTACAGGATTATGAGCCGGACTGGGTGCGGCATCTGCCATGTTCAGCTTCTCCTCTAGCGCTCTGATTTCTCTCTGTAGCTCCTTGTACCTTTCAGACGCACGGGAAAAATCACGCCACTCCTCAGCATCGCCTTTCGACCCAGTGTGTCCTATGGCTAATAAAAGTTGTTGCACATATACTGGATGGCTTCCTCGAGCTCGTAGTCTGTCTCGACTTCATCCAGTTTATGTTCGATTATTTTCATTAGCGCTCTGCGGCTCATGTCCTTAAGTAACCCTTCCCCTGCCTCACATTTTAGCAGGTTACAGGCTTCTACGAGCTGATCCTTGCTTCTTTGGCATAAAGTAGTAGTAAGTTCGTCTCTCAGGTTTTCTAGCTCCATTTTGCGTACTCACAAATCAACTTGTTATCCGTTGTTCCAGGTTCGTTTTTGGAGAGAGGTTTTTTTCAGCAGCGCGAGGACGCTAACGTTTTCGGCTAACGGTTACTAACAGAAGTCCTTTTTCTCACGCTCAAAGTTCGTTTAAAACCAATCTCCTGGCTGGCTCGCCATGATGTTACAGATCTTTAGGCACAAAAACGACTTCCGTTCTCTTCCACAGGGGATATTATTACAAAGCCACACACAATTTTTTTTAAATCGGCTGTAACAGTCCCCGCTCCCATACCGTGCCTAGCCGCGGTCCAAAACAAAAAACACACGTCAGTCTAGTTCAAGGCACGTACCAAGAAACTGTGCGGGGCGTTCAAATACATCTCGCAAAAACAACAACAATCAGAATTCACAACAACAAGAACAGTCAGAATTCAAAACAACAAGAACAAGGGTACGCTAATTCATCACAATCATGCGTAACTGTAAAGTCATTAATCAAGTCTTCAATATGTGAATAACAGCTCCAGAGCCTCGCGATGCAAGTACATACCAGCAGAGGTGCCAGGAATATAGAATTTTGGATAGGCCATGACAGAACTGACTGAGTTTGTGTACCGAAACCTCTGTGTGCAAATGAGTCCCTCTCACACATGTGCACCGCTGTAAGCCCATGCAAACCTTTTCGTCTGCGTTCCTCATTTCATTCACCTCCCATTACGCAGCAGACCAGTGTCTATCTCATGCACTCCTCACCCCACAGCAGACCTGCTGACCGCTGCTCTCCCTCTGGTCACACCCGCTCCCGCCTGTCCCGCAGTCTGCTCCCATCTCGCACCTGAGGTATGAGTGTCCACTGCTGCTACCGCTCACATTCTCATCTCTCAGGTCCACTGCATTTGGTCCCACAGGTGGATGTCTCGCCAATTATGGAATATGTTTATGATCATATAAATGTATCTGATGTTACCGCTTTGTGTTTAGACATGGATTAAACCATGAGCACACAGGGAGAGAGAAGTGACTGATGTGCCAGGAGCACAGAGCAGGATGTGCAGGTCTGTACAGAGCAGTACTCATGTCAGTATACATCTCTTGAGCCGCTATACAAAGCTCTACTGATCACTGCTGCCAAGAGAGCAGCACATACGAGACGTGCGTCTGTTCTGTTGTTATAGCACTGAGCTACACTACAGATCCAAAGTTTTAGAACACCATAATGTTTCTAGATGTTTATTGTAGTTCATGTCGTGCAAGTTCAATGAAGAGCATGAAATGGTACAAAGGTAAGAACTGAACAGACAGAGGTTAAAAAAAGATAAAAGATAAAAGAACAAAACACAAGTCCAAGCTCTGCCAAAACTACCTCAGGAAAAAAGAACAAGATGGTAAAACTTGAAAACCTGGAGTGTCCAGCAGCAGCACAGTGTCCAGACTTAAACCCCATGGAGCTGGTTTGGGATGAACTGGACAGAAGAGTGAAGCAACCTACAAGTGCCACACATTTATGGAAACTTCTGCAACAGACTTGGGAAGAACTTTCTGAAGAATATTTGATTTGTGTTGTAGAAAGAACGAGCCATGAGTGTGTTCAGCTGTTCTATCTGCCAAAGATGAACACACATCAATCTAAAGTTTAGAGTAAGTTTTGGTCAACAGTAAACAGCAAAAAACTGGAAAAAGTGTGGTGTTCTAAAACTTTTGACCGGTAGAGTATATATGAATGTGCAGACTCAGACTCAGACTGTTAGAGTCAGGACGCTCCACAGCTCTGTGCAGTTTTCTATGGTTCTAATGGTCACCTACCTACTGGCGACTAACTGTATAAACTAATCAAAGCAACACATTGGGTCACAAAGTTAAATGGAGCTGGTGACAGAAAGAGTAAGAGAATGTGAGGAAATCCAACATCGCAGCATTAGGATGTAGACAGGGCAAGAAAACACACTTAAGAACATCACTGTAAACGGCCTCATGTGAATGAGCAGCTTTTGTACAGACCCAGATCAAACCAAATTCTAGAGCAGAGCTGAGTCGATACAGGGAGCAGGCGAGGGAGGGCATCTGGACGACTCCCGCACAGCACACAAACATGTTCTGAATAAGCGTTAAGCGTTTATTTCCGAATAAAAGAGGCCTTGAGCATGTTACATGTTGTTTTTCAATAGACTAGTTTGATTATTTGATTATTATTTTTATAGCTCTGGCAGTTCACTGAAAGTGTCACACCTGCCCTCAGTCTGCTCTGCTCCACCTGATGTTCAGACACGACACACTTCTGGTTTAGAAGTACATGCACTTGAGCTAAGATCAGGGGCAAGACAGGACCCTGTGTATGTCAGGATCTGAGGGTCTGAGGGGAGGAGGTCAGCACAGAAGAGGAGGTTAGGGCAGAGAGAGGAGAGGAAAGGAGACAGGAGAGGGCAGGAGACTGGGTGTCACTTACGATGATGGGCACTCCTCCGTAGTCCTCCAGCAGAGGGGACAGGATGTTGGCCAGGAGCAGCCCCAGAGGGTTAGCTGCACACACACACACAGGAGTTTTACCGTGTCTCTACTTCTCTGTGAGTCCCCCCCTTCCTCAGGTGCTCTCTGTGCTAAGTCACTCCCCCTTTAGAGCACAATCATAACAAACTCAGAGTGAATCCCGCAAATGGAACGACTGCACTTCACATCAGGTTTGTGAAGTTGTTGTTCACAGTTTTTTATCATGTTTTATGGAGTTAATATAACTGAGATTCAGGAGCTGGACCACACCTCAGCCTCCTCTCCAGCTCAAACACGGCTTATCTCAACCACGCCTCAGTTACCCACAAGCCCTGTTTATACGGCCTATCCCGACAACACTGTCGACGTCATCCTTCAGTCCGAAGACATCATCTTCTAGAAGGGGAGTTCAGAATCAGCTGGGTGACCATGCTGGATTGGAGAAGGTACCCCCTCAGCCATCACATCTATCCACCGTCAATAAACATCTATCATATTCCATTGTCGTGGTGTGATCTTTGCAACTGAATGTATATTTATGAAGAATTGTCGTGTGGGAGCTTGGGTGATGTAGGCTTGTGGGCGGAGCCTTGTTCAGAATCTTTCAACAGACCTTTTTCACAACGGCCGGAAGTGCCACGATGTCGGGTAAATGTCACTCCCGGTTTATGCTTTTTGGGGGCAAAATATCTGCGTAAATGTCTAGTGTTTTCTCCAGGAGCTTCATAAATCTGCACCATCACCAAATCTTCAACCAACAAGCTATAGGATATGACTCACACATGTCGGGGTCTACAAGGCACTCACACATGTCGGGGTCTATGGGGTACTCACACATGTCGGGGTCTACAAGGCACTCACACATCAGTCTATGGGGCACTCACACATGTCGGGGTCTATGGGGCACTCACACATGTCGGGGTCTATGGGGCACTCACACATGTCGGGGTCTATGGGGCACTCACACATGTCATGTCACACATGGGGGTCTATGGGGCACTCACACATGTCGGGGTCTATGGGGTCTATGGGGGTACTCACACATGGAGGCCAGCATGTTGGCAATGGCGCGCTGGTGCTCGGGGAACCACAGTGCCGCGAGCTTGGTGGGGGTGAAGATGATGAGGGGCTGGGCCAGTGCACCGAACGTCTGTCCCACGAGCACCACAGGGTACCTGCCGGAGGCCTGGCCTGTTGGCAGGGACGCACCTATGAATCGGACCACTGCACCTGTCATGTTCAGCCATGAGCCGACGATCAGCTGCACACACAGTCACAGCCACAGTTACATAACAATCAGCAGGAGGTTATTCACAACACTTAAAGGGCCACTGCGTCACATTTCTGGCTTCAGGTACACTACCTTCTTGTCACCATGGCAATGAATTTTCCACAGAATGGCATTTAACATCTAACCATGTAGACAAGCAGGTAACACCACCAGGCCAAGTTACAGTAAGAATTACAGAATACATGCTTTTCTATTTTGCAAAAAAAAATAAAAAATACTAACTGAATACATTTAAGATGATTCATGTTATTGCCCCTGGAAAAGTTACACAATGTACCTTTAAGTATTTTTAGCCCTCCAGATGCATAGTCCCTGTGCATCCAGCATCCATGTGGTTGTATGTATCATATAGATCAGTGTTTCCCAAAGTTTTTTTCTGGGGATCCATATTTTAAAAGTCACAAACCTTCGTGACTCAAGTCAACAGACGTGACTCATAAATCACAAAATAAAAGTGGATTTGAGCATTATTGAACATTAATGAGGATATTTTATTTTTGACTGAGTGATTGTGTCTTTGAACAATTAGTATTACAAAAAGCAGTAACTGAAACAGTAAAAGGATCCATAAGTCGCCTATTTGGACATTAAATGTAG